ACATCCAGATATTTTCACAAACTTTTGCATTTATGATATTAGTAGGATGTATAGAAGTATAGATTAGAGCGTTCAGTCAAACCAAACTAAATTATCTATTTAGCATTATAATTATTATTATATGCTTAGATTGAAAAACATGTACCTACTTGTATTTATATTTATCATTTAGCTACATTTATCATTTTTACATTATTTCAAACACCTTGCAGGATGTTCTCGCAATTTCTTTATTGGAGCACTGACATTGACAATCCTTTAAGCTTAAGTTTTTGCGTATGCATTGTTAACTTGCGTAGGCGATTATTTGACAAGGATCTTTCTCTGAATGTTTGGTGAAAGGTGTTCTATATTTAGAAAATAGGGTAAATGCACCTATCACTGGATTGAATTTTGTTTAAAATATTATGTAATTGAATTTGGAAATTGTTGGGTTACGTAAATAATGAAAATGGATTATGAAAGTAAATTTACATATGTTATATAAAAGTAGGTACAAGTTAGGTACATGTACGAGGACCTAATGTCTACCTAATGCCCATAGGTATAGTATTCAGCCCTTTTTAACCGTCCCACTGCTGGGCACGGGCCTCCCTTCAGTACGAGGGGGATCAGGCCATAAGTCCACCACGCTGGCCAAGTGCGGGTTGGCGGACTTCACATGTCTTTTGAAAATTTACTAGGTTCTCTCAGACATGCAGGTTTCCTCACGATGTTTTCCTTCGCCGTTAAGACAAGTGGCAATCATATTGGAAATGATTCGCACGTGAAAATATCAGAGGTGCGAGACCCGGGATTTGAACTTGCTTTACTCGGTTTCCCAAGCGAGCGCATTACCACTGGGCTACAGCCTTTTTATACATATAGTAACATTATAATATAATACAAATAATAATATTCATCTATTCATAATATCTTTTAAATAAAAGTTAGAAAGAACTAAGTGAGTGAGAGCTTTCTTCTTTTAATATTGAGTTTTTTGTTAGTTATTTACGTTTTTTGGTGGGTTCTTTAAATGGAAACTAGGACTGTAAGAATTCTTAACAGTGCAGAAATCAAATGTGCGATTTCCGGTGTAATAGACATTACTAGGCAGATAAGTTTAAAACGAAGTTACATTAAAATAAAAAAAAACTATTTTGGCCTATTTAATTATTTTCATAAATGTTTTGCTTAGGTAAATTGTCTATGTCATGTAAAGGATGTCGCACCCCAATCGATTAAAAGGTGTTCTTAAAATGGGTTGAGTGCATGACAAAAGTTTTATCAATAAGTGTTTATTTGCGACGCATCTGCCGCATGTGCTACAAATATACGAGTACCAATATTCTATTTGAATAACTCTTTGGCGTTATTTATTATAGGGTGAATTGATTTCACAGCACTTTATATTAGATGACATGATGAATTGTAGAAATTTATTCGAAAGGACTGTGAAGCTGTTTTTTTTTGCATATCTATCGAAAAAATATTAGGTTATGTCGATCGCAATTAAATGTGTTAAAATATATAATATTTTAATAAAACAATAATATATTAATTTAACAGTCTACTACTGGGTACGGGCCTCCTTTAAATGTGAGCAGCATTAGGCCGTAGTCCATCATTCTGCTCAACGCCAAATACTACGTTGCGGGTAAGCGTTCTTTATACGCCCTCTTATAGCTATTTAGGTTCTCTTAGATGTGCAATACACATGAAATTTCTGAGTTGCTACCTCGGTTCTGAAGCCCCTTCACTCAATTTCCAAAATGAACGTTCCCAGTACTCTTAATGAAACTAAATGTAGTGTATCGATTTAGCAGGTAAAAGTCATATTAAGACGCGGACGTCCGAGTCTCTAGCGGCGTTTTTCGAAAAGATATAAAAATTGCAATTTTTTTCCAGAAAATACAAATATAAATAAATAAACTTTAAGATCAAAACCTTATCTAAATACGATATGTGATGTAAATTGTTAGAGCCGTTTTCGAGATACACAAAATAAATGTATATATACATGAATTAATGAATAACCGACACCATATTGGTTAGCGGTAGATTTTAACAAGCTTATAGTTAAGTAATTAAAGTAAAATACCGCGCAGTAAACAAACCATTGAGTGAACAATGAAATGTCGCAAATGACTGTTACTGCCATATTGCCCTATATTCCCACTACCTCTTTCAATAAATGTGCAGGTAAACATTTTTCGCAAGCAAAAAATATATGGTCTATAAAAGACCTGGTGAAAGTTTTGTAGGATCAGCGAACAAACAGACTTTTTTATATTACTAGATAGAATGAAAAAAAATCATCTTTCTCCGAAATGGCCGGTCACAAAAGGGTTTTGGATTTCAAAAAGTTTTTGCCATTTTGAAAGAATACACAAATGTCATATCCTGTGGCGAGGATTCCATTTTAATTTTTATTTTTTGCTATAAATGTACCTACCTAATGTATGTATTTATTTTAAGTACAAAGTGTTGCTTATATGTATTGCTAGATTTTTACACAAATACTTATATTTAATTTTTTTTTATTTAATACAATTAATTATAAAGCAAAATTCGTTTGAACGAGTTAATATCTGAAATTAGCAGTCCGATTTTAAATATTTTTCGCATTTCATTGCCGATTTATTATGAAAGAATATGACGTGACCACTCTTAGAGCGTATGGCCATCAAACATACCTAAATAAAGTACGTGAGCGGAGCCGTGGGCGAAAGCTACTTATTAATAAAATGTTATTGTTATATTTTGTATATTCTAACAACTGTTATGTTAATGAGATCAAGTTAATATAGAATAAAGCACGTGTTTGAGTATGGCCATTAAAAAGTCCCAATACTAGCAGAGAAAGTAGAACCAAACTGAGATAAGACTTATAAAGGCAGAGCTTCTCTCAAAAACCGCTAGTAAAAGTGCATAAAAGAACTTAATTACACGTATATACCTTGAGTTTCTTTGAGTTGAGAAAGTTTTACTATGGTGTGTTGTATTTAAAATGTTACACATATTTAAAAATGTTACTTGGAATTCAATGTCACATTCTATAACAGATTTATTTATTGAGCTATAAAAGAGCTTTTGCCTCATGTCTTGTTCAATACATCCATTATTAAATCCCAGACATATGTACACAAAACCTCAACCTTAAATTTGATATGAAAAGGCTAAAAAATCTCTATGAATATTATATTGACAATATAATCGCGTGTTTTGATGGACAGTCACCTTTTGTGCCCTTTGCCCCGCACGCGACGTCACACTCAAATATGTATAGGATGATGTTTGAACGTTTCTTTAATATGTTTCTTAGAAAAAGTTAAAAGTTCATTGGTTTTGTGTACTTATTTATGAATTATGTTTTGATTTGGATAAAAGATTGTTAATTAAATATTATTTTGCTATTGTCTATGATATTCTAAAGGTTTCTCTGGCAGAAATGTCCTTATATATTTCCTCACCCTAGCTCCGCTTGGGTTTGCCTCTAGAAAGACAAAAACAAATTTATCCCACGGGAACCGTGCATTTTCCTGGATAAAAAGTAGTTTATATGTTATTCCGCACTATAATCTATCTCTGTGCCAAATTTCATCCAGATCTGTTCAGCCGTTTCGTCTTGATTGAGTAACAAACATCCAAACATCTGAACTTTAACTTTATAATACTAGTAAGAAAATCATTGTATCCAAGCTTAAGCTTTCGAATCGTAGTTCTAATAAGCTTCTTGAATTGTAACAAATGATCTCAACATCTTTAGGCTTTAAGCAAATGCAGATAGAATTCTTAATCGCTAACTATCATCGCTAAGTATTAAATTAAAAATAACTATGTACTTAGTTGAAGAGCATTAAAATAAAAATTGCTTTAACTTTTAAACAAAATGGCAAAAGACCAATTTTGAAAGCATATAATTAAAAAGTAAAATAAAAACAAACGAAACACGATTTAAATTTTATTCGACGAACCATTAACAATGTTTGTTATTCTTACTATCTAATTGTACCTAGTAAATGCAATTAATAATCTCAATGGGCTTCATATTAATTTTTAATTATAAATAAAGTTGTTGCCGAAAAAGCTCGCTTAAAATAAGCTTTATGGACAAGAACTATTGTTTGCTACGTTACATATAAAATATATCATAAATTATAACTAGTTATAAGTTATTAAGAGAAATATAATAATTTATAATTCAAAATTATATAAGTCCAGTTTATAAGTTTAAAAAAATAATAATATATTGTTAGACTGCAATTGCCAATACTTATATATTACCTATTCCTTACACTCTCGAAGTCCAGAGGCGTTTCGACACGATCGGTAAGACATCAGCCGCAGTAACAATGGCGGTACGTGCTCCACAAAGCTCGTCGTAATATAATAATAATAATATATGAAAGTAGCAAACTTCCCAAAATCCTATACCAAAAATAATGTAAACAAAATGTTTTTTAACCTCGCTTCTCAAAACATAATTATTAATTAGAGATTTTAGAAGAATAATGACATTATTAATATTGAATCTACAATTGTTTGACATTTAAATATTTTGTATCTGTGATAATTATTATTTATCAAGTAAATAAGTATAAACTAAATTAAATACTTCCTATATATAAATGCATTCAATGGCAAATAATATCTAACAGCTATTTGAGCGTTGGAAATGGGCTTAACATATTATTATATAAAAACTTAATCTATTGATAATCTTACTAAATGCAGCCATTTTTAGATTCTTATAAACTAGTTTAAAAATACATTATTTCAATAATTTAAAACACCTATCCACCAACTACCAAATATACTAAGTCATATGTTATCTTAAAACTAAAATAAATCTACAAGAGAGTATTTTGCTTTGTGACATTAAATATAAATTACGAAACCTTACAAAGTACAATTCAGTATCTAAACACTACCTAATGTTTCTAAAAAAAATCGTTTCCAATATCACCACTTATATTATTTTTAAATTTCATTTTAGTTATATTTCTAGTATTAAATTATAGATATAGGTCGTAATCGAACCCGGTGCCACCGCTAAGGTAGTCATAGAGATATACGGACATTTCATCGAGAGCTTCTATCCGCGGGTCGGAGAGTGGCTCGTCCCGGATTGACCTCGCTGCCCTGGATAGTGATCTAAAACATATAAAAGAGCTTTTTTAATCTGTAAACTTGTATTATAATAAATTATATAAAAGCTTACTAAAATACATTTAAAAATATAACGGGACTGGGATTCAAACCATTCGTAGTTTTCTTTATTATCACTGTTAAGTCTATGGTAATTTTATTAAATTTATTGCAAGTATATTTTTAAATCAGTTTTGTAATTTAATAAATCAGCTGTTGTAATTTTATAAAACAAAAAAGTTGTAAAAAGAATATAAAATTTTGTAAACTTCAAACAAATTTATTGTAATATGAATTACAATATAATTTTGTGATTTTAGTTAAAATTCTAATATAAAGAATCGCAAACAATGCTTGTAAATAAAGGACTTTCTAGATGGGCAATAAGATTTGTAAAATTATAATTAATTTTTGTGATTTTCTTTGAATGTTTTGGAAAATTACTTAATCTGAGTAGTAATTTATATTAGTATACGTTAGTTTGTAATTTTGTTTAACCATTGTTTTGTAAAAATATTGTTATTTCACAAATAATTTTAACAGTGTAATTCATACGAGTACACGTAGGAGACTCGTAACAAGGATAAAACATGTACGTAGTACATGCATACATAGGTATTATGTCTCCGACTTCATTATACTGTTAGTCAACTTGTTTCCATGTTTTAAGTTTGCTTTTTATACAGTCCGTTTTTTTGTAAATTATTTTATTACTAGCATTGCCCGCGTTCAGATGACCAAAAACCAAATTCTTAGGTTTTACATATTAGTATACTCTTACATTGCAGTTTCTGTATTTTTTCTCAGAAATGAGATATTTTCCCGCGGTAAAAAGTATTCTATATGTTGACCCGGATGACCTGCTATCTCCATACCAAATTTCATCAAAATCCCTCCAGTGGTTTTTCTGTGATGCGGTAACAAACAGACAGATAGACAGACAAAAATTCTAAAAACTATAGATTCGGCATATGTATCGATAATAATGTTTATTTCAATAAGATTTTCCTAAAAATATCTAATGTTAAGATTCGGCTTAGTTACAATTTTATTATATGTAGGTATAGATACTCTACTGCCGAGCGGAGGTGCATTAGATTGATCATTAGACTCATGCTAATAAGTTACTTTATTCACATATGTTTTATATTATTTAGCTTATTTATATATATAGCATATTTTTGCATTATTTAGCATATGCTCTTATTAAAATATTTTGCAATTGACACTAAATAATAAAATTTTCTTTACAGTTAATTATTAAAAATATTACAAAACTTATAAATCTTGATTTTCAAATTCGTAGTTACTTCTTTCAAAAGACCTTAATATGTTCTTACCTGAAGTCAGTGTCTGTGTCCAGTTCGTCTTCAGATGCGAATCGTTCGCGGATGTCTTTCATAATACAAGCTTCCAATTTCTTGTGCTGTTAAAAAAATGATTAAATTATTATTAAGCATATAGAATACACATCTTTTACACTATCTTTTACACATCTTTTACTTTTATCTTTTTCATCTATATTATTACTATCTAGGCATTTGTAGTAATTATTTATTAAAAAAATATATATAGGTAGAATTTTTTTGAAATCGGTTAAAATAATCATGAAAATCAGTTTAGAACTGGTGAAAACATCTCGTAAGTCGTAACATATACAAAATAAAAACTTCCAAATTGAGTACATTTTTAAAGTCGGTCAGATAATGTATTCCGATCTTTTTAAATTATTTTTATGACATTAAAATATTTTTTGATATTTCCCATTTTTTTTTAATAATAGTAGGTAGCTACTTGAAACAAACCTTATAGCAGCGGAAGAAGAACATGGGCTTGATAAGTTCTTGGGATAATGGTGCAGTACGTTCAACCTCTGGTACACATTGCTGTAAGTAAAAAGAAGTCTCTTAAAACTAAGTTAAGTTAAACACCAAGTGTGCTTGTAAATTGAACCTTAAATTCAGTACTTAAAGTTGTTTTCACAAAAAAAAAATAACAGCACGCCCAAAAATTTATGAGCGATCATTTGGTGAGGACATCTTATGTCGCTGATTTTGTATCTAGCATTTTTTTGATTGATGTTTTACAATGATGTTATTACGAAATCTTAAAGTTTCAAATTAGAAGAACAAAAGAAACTCCTTAAATGCAAAAAACTTTTCTGTCTATTTTATCTTTAGGTATCTATTAATATTTAAAATGTTGTTATATATCGATTAGTTTGTCGTATATACGTTTCTTATTTTTGGGTTGTCATAGTCCAAACCACCATAAAAAGTTGACTGTTTCTTTATGCCTCTTGATACAAAATAATTTTTGCTGAAGCAATTATGAAAGGACTTTCATTGGTAGAAGCTATGATATTATAGACAAATGAGCAGAGCGAAAGCTAAAAAAATATTTATAGAAGACAGAAACGTTATACAAAATTTCTTACTGAGAATTTGTGACAGAATTGGACGCCTTCCTGAATATCTGCCTTCAGCTCGCTGGGTACGGGCAGGCTGTTTATTCTCTTCGTGATTGCTTCGTAATTTGGCTCCAGATTATGGTCAATATAACCAAGTTCCTGCACCACGCATGTGACGTTACGGACTCGCTTGACTTGCCCGGTCATAGCTGACAGCAGTTCTAGATCTAGACGGTCGCGGACATTGCGCTGCAAATGTTTAACAAAAAAGATTTACATATGTACATACTTGGGCTTAGTATTTCTTATGTAAAAAAAGTTTATTTAGTTTTTACTCATCAATGAGGACGTCACCATTAATAATTATCATAAAAAATCTATTTCATATTTAAATGTTTATATACAGTTCTAGTAATATTTTATTTCATGGCCAAAAACTAAAGATTAGTTTTAGCTGTAGTTCGTCTAAATAATATATTAAGAGACATTGAACAATGAGTAGATTAAGCATATGTATAGAATAGGGATTGTCCTAATGAATAGATTATGAGAAAAAATCAACTTAAAATTTAGAAGTGATAATATTTTTATTGAGATCAAAGTGTGCAGTAATTTTTAACTATGTACATTTTTGGACAATCCTCCTTCTTTACAGGTGTGTCATGGACATTGCCAGTCTTTTTCGCTTTGGGCATAGATAAAAACGAATTCTTAGCGACATCCGTTGAATATCTGTAAAAATTTGTGGTTGGGAATGCAATTAACATAGATTTGTTACTAGTACAAAACAAAAAAAAAACAAAAAAATTTACAATCCCTGTTCTTTGCCTGAACCCTTCATATGCTGTTGTACTAATCGTCAGTATATATATAATATTGAAAAACAAACGTTTCCTTCCACTATTAATCAAACATGTAATTTCTAACCTATGCCTACATATAATAAAATTGCAACTAAGCCGAATCTGTACATTAAGAATTTTGTGGAAAATCTTATTGAAATAGACATTATTATCGATACAGAGGTCGAATCTATAGTTTTTAGAAATTTTGTCTGTCTGTCTGTCCGTCTGTCTGTCTGTCTGTTACCGCATCACGGAAAAACCACTGGAAGGATTTTGATGAAATTTGGTATGGTGATAGCTGGTTATCCGGGTCAACATATAGGATACTATTTATCGCGGGAGAATATCTCATTTCTGAGAAAAAAATACAAAAACTGCAATGTAAGAGTATAACTAATATGTAAAACCTAAGAATTTGGTTTTTGGTAATCTGAACGCGGGCGGAGCCGCGGGCAATGCTAGTATTATATAACAAGCTAATGATACAAGGTAATACATAACTGCTTCATTTGAAAAAAAAAATAATCGAAAAATAACAATTCAAAAAAAAAGGATACTTACAGACATCCTGTTATTTTGTGCATAGTATGGTTGATAGTAGCCTTGCTGGAACTGCGGTTGTTGGTACGCGTACGGATTGTACTGCACGCCTCCAGGTGGATAGAACATTGGGTTAAATGGAAATTGGTAATATGGTTGTGGGAATGGCCTGAACTGGTTTTGAGTGGGATATGGCATTGGTTGCTGGAACGGCTGTAAGAAGATTTATCGATTATCAACAGCTATTTGTACACTCAAATTTATATTTTTATTTATCAAATATGTATAAATGTGTATAATACACTAATATTTTCCTTTAGAACACACATTTAAAATTTCAGCGATATAAAACTATTATGCGAGTAACATGGCTGTAACATGTTGACAGATGGATATGAAGGGTATGACGAAACTATAAAGATTTTTGAATAACAGTAACAGATAGAGTTACTTAATCTAAAAGATTATAGACTATTGTTAACTGCAATAAAATAAAAGATGTCAAATTAATCTTTATTTATATAATTGGACTATCTGTGTTTCCAATCTTTTAGGACTTATTTAAATAATCAAATAAAAGTTTTATTATATAAGAAAAAAATAGAATAATATTATTTTATTTATTTAACTGTCAATTTTAGTTTACTAATATTGCATTAATCTTATAAATATCTTTTCTTTTTGGAAATAAATAACTTTTATTTAATTTTTAAGGAAATAAACCTTTAAGATAAAATCATGAACTTATATGGTTGTGTTACGTTATAAAATATTTCGTTAACCTTTACATCGCCTCTTTAGCTCAGTGGTAGAGCACTGGTCTCGTAAACCAGGGGTCGTGAGTTCAATCCTCACAGGAGGCATTCTCGACGTTATGTTTAAATTTTTAGACACGAATATATATATATAATGTTTTTTTATTAAAAATAAAACAAACTGTTTTATACAATATATAATCAAATATATAAAAAATCAACGGTCCGATTGTTTAAATAATCATAATTTTTGCTATATATGGAAAAATAATCTTAATGATATTTCATATACCCTATTTAGAAATTATAGCAACATTAGTCTTACAATGTGAATTTTAAATTGTATTACTAAAATTCATGCATTTAAAAAAGTATTTATTTACAGCAAATATTAAATGGTAATTTATATGACGTTTAAATTTATTAAAACAAAAAAGCATATTAAGCTTACCGCTTGTTTGAAGGGATTATTTGCAAGCAATTGTTTATGGGGGAATAGTCCTTGAGGTAGGTCATTTTTTAGTGCAACGCCATCTGTTGGCTTCGCTGCAGACTCCGTAGACGCTTCCGTGTTAAAGCCTAAGTTTGACAGGATAAAGGATGGTATGCGATCGTTCAACGCCTCACCGACAGATGGCGGTGTAGAACATTTAATATAAGCGTCCTTCATTTCTTGGCGAATTTGTTTCACCACTTCTGGACCGAAACAACTTTCATATATCTGTAATAAAAATAAAACATTTAAAACACTATTTATCGATATATCACATACTTGATAGTAATAGATAAAGTTTTAGAACTGTACTTAATATATATTTTATTTGTGTTTATAAAATTATTTGTATTATAATTTACAAGAAAAATATAAGGAAACTAAAATATGTTTAATTATTATTCAAAGTAAATATATATAGTAATTTAATAATTATAATTTAATTTTATTGTTTATGTTGTATTGTTTTATTTCGACTTAGTAATTGTAAGCAGTCGTGGCCGAGCGGTTAAGGCGTCTGACTAGAAATCAGATTCCCTCTGGGAGCGTAGGTTCGAATCCTACCGACTGCGAAAACTTTTTTTTATTTTCAATGAAGAGAAGACTATTAACGACTCGCCTGACTCTCGTTAGCTCGTTACAAACAAACACACCTTTAAAGTTTTTTTTTGAGAAAAACAGCTATCTTATTTACAAATGTACATTTACATTCGTAAATAAGATAATCTCACCAGTGACTAAGATGCTAAGAAGTGAAGAGTACCAGATTATGTGACAAATGTATAAAATTTGAATCCTAGCTAAATCGGCGTATTCACTATTCATATCGCATGAAATAAACTAAAATATTCTTATGCAAATCAGTCCTACGCTATATTTATACTTATTTTTGTTGAAAAAGATGGACATTGTTGGAACACTGCTTACCTTCATCATGGCATATTTCTTGAAAAACTTATCATCGCTGTCGCCCCAAGCCTGGGCGGTGATGCTCAGTAGGCATACGAAGAATATACTTTTCGCCATTTTATTTCTGAAATAAAAAAAAATGTTATAATATATATGCAAAAAAAAGAACATAAAAATAGTAGTTTGCTGTTATTGTTTATTTATTATCATTTAATTTAAAATACTTTATTTAAATACTTAGTTAAGATGATAATCTACAATAATTGCTATTGTCAATAAAAGCTCACCAATGTACAGATCTATGGTATGCGACTTTAGATATACCTACATATTATTATAATATTATTTATTGTCTATTGTAATATATAAAGAGGACAAATTTGTTTTTTTTTCGAAACTACTGAATCGATTTATTGAAATTTGGTAAGAAGATAGTTTGAGACCTTCAGTGGGACATAGGATAGTTTTATCCCGGAAATCAACCCTTAAGGGGGTGAAAATGGAGGGAAAGTTTGTATGGGGGAGCAACAGAAAAAAAAGCGAGAGTAAGTAGCTAGTAATTATTAAATACATAAATTGTCTATCTATAAATATATTTAGTTTTCTATAACGCAATATGTAGTCAACCGGGCTAATACCCGATTTCACCAACGTCACCTAAGTTTAAGGTATCCCCTAAGCATGGTTAGGGAGCTGTTAGGGGACAGTTTCTGTTTCACCGACAGTTAGGGGTCACCTAAATATTAAAAGGCCCCCTAAATTTAGGTGCTCGAAATATGGGCTTAAAGACGATCGTAAAACGAAATTTAATTTAGGGGCTAGTTTAGGGGACTTTTAAGCTAGGGATCCCATACGTAGATGGTAGCTTATGGGTTGTTGGTGAAATCGGGCATAAGCCTGCTTATCCTATAAAAGGCAATATCTAAATAGGCTAACATAATGTAATTAAATTCTCTATCTAAAATCTAGATATAGTGTTTTACAATTAGGTCAATCGATTCTACGTGTTCGTTGTTTCCCTTATACGGGAGACAATGGAACGAGTACATTGTGATAAATGAACAATCTCTTAAAATTATAAATTGGAAAGATTACCTATATTTTGTTGATTTTTTCTAATTTTTCGAACTAGGAGGACTGAAGACGAAATCGATCTCGCTTTGATTTTTTGTTTAGAAATAGTTTATGGGTCGGAGAAAGAAGTCTACGTTTTATTCCGCTAGGTATATAAATAATGTTTTCCCGTGGAAATATATTAGTCTGGTGCCATAAAGATTATTTTTCAATAATCTTCATAACTTATTCCAAAATCTATATCTACTATATTCTATACTAATGATTTGTGCTAATAAAATAAAGAGATAAAATTGCATTTTGGTTTGTAATGGATAATCTAAAAATCCGCTGAACCGATTCAGATGAAATTTGGTATAAAGATAGTTTCAGACGAAGTGACAAGGAGAATGAATGTTTGTATGGGGAATCATATACCTATGTATTTATATAAAAATGTAAAGTCTATCTATTCCATACTAACCGTTAAGACGTACCTAGGGAGGAACCCGAGAGAAGAGAGGGTGAGTCGCTAGTGTATAATAACTGTACATACATAGTGCCTATAAAATTGTTTAAAGTGTACCAATCAGATTCCATATCCACAACAAAATTTATCCGTTAAAATCTAAATTTGAACGGATAAAACGAATTAAACAGATAAAATAACCATATTATACGAGTAGATAACTACTAGAATTATTTACTTAATTATAACTATGAAGTTATACTCGGATATACATATCAATTTTATTTATAAGTGCTGATTAAAATAAAACACGCACTGCGGCTGTTATATCTAGAATTTATCAATTATTTTATAATAAAACTAATTCATTTTAATCAAAGGACTATATTTAGTATGTTATAACGGATATAACGCAAGAGTTACACCATCATTTGAGTTCTGTGGTTAAGTAGGCGTGTACTCTTAATAAATCCGCTGGTCAGTTCATTAACATTGCTGTTGGAAACCGTTAGTAGTATCACGAGGAATTATTATTTCATTATAGCCTGTAATTTAGTTTTGAACAATGAATTGCTGATTTAGTTCTGCTACTACATAATAGATGTCGCTGCGCGTTTATTATTTTTCATATTATTGAAGTTTATTAAAAATGGGATGATAAAGTAAAAATTTAATACTTGCTTTTAGCTTTTTGAGTTGATTATTTTGTACTAGCTACTCATCCTCGCTCTATCCTAGTTCGGTTTCGTCCCTAGGTAGTTCGTACGTTTTAACGGATAGTATAGATTTCTCCGAGATGAGGTATTTTCTAGCATTAAAAAGTATCTTAGATGTTGATACATATTAGTATACTCTTACATTGCAGTTTTTGTATTTTTTCTCGGAAATGATATATTTTCTCGCGGTAAAAAGTAGGTATCCTATATGTTGACCCGGATAACCAGCTATCACCATACCAAATTTCATCAAAATCCCTCCAGTGGTTTTTCTGTGATACGGTAACAGACAGACAGACAGACAAATTCTAAAAACTATAGATTCGACCTCTGTATCAATAATAATGTTTATTTTAATAAGATTTTCCAAAAAATATCTAATGTACATTTTCGGCTTAGTTACAATTTTATTATATGTATAGATATAAAATGTTAAATTTCAAAATGTATGAGTAATTATTATTTCATAACAGTTAATAATGATTTTAATTTTAGTTCTGCTTTTACTTAAAATATGCATAAAAATATCTCTCCGCTTTCAACTTCGTGAATAGCATTATGGGAGTAAATATAGGAAAGTACTGAAAATAGAACGATAAGCTTTAGTTAGCTATTTATATAACTAAGTAGATTTTTTTAATGAATTTTAACGTTGATGTTTTTCAAAACCTTAATAGTATTAATTTTATTTTGTTTGTTTATTAAAATTTAAATTAATTAAAAATTGGTGATCTGTATATTATATATGGTACTGATACACGTCGGACATGATTAAATAATAAGCCGCCTTTTTTGCCGTTTGGCTTTGGAATTGTGAGAAGTGTTTTTTGCATTAATATGCTCATAAGTAGAGTAAAATATTAAGTTAATTAACTGAATGTAAAAAAATAAACGTACGTGTATCATAATAATAGGTATATAAAGTTACATAACTGTATCATAATATATAGAGTGATTTCAAAATCTAAATAAATAAAAATGAATGTTGGTAAGCTCATAACTCAGGAATGGCTGAACCAATTCGGCTAAAATTTTTTTCGTATGTTCGTTAAGGTCCACGGAAGATTTTAATAAAGAGTAAAAACGAAAAATTAACGAAAAAAAATTATATGGCTAACGCTGGCTAATAACTATTTATATCTACTTAAAACATACCTAGCGACGAACCCGAGCGAAGCGAGGGTGAGCCGCTCGTATATTATATAAAAATTATTTTTATTGCAGTTTAGAGTTTATTGAACTAAAGTCAAAATTATAAACTTGTGAGTTTCTAAAAAGTTATAATTTATATATTACCCAATCCAAATCCAAATTATACTCACTAGCTTTTGTCTGCGTCTCCACTTGTGTACTTTAGTGTCTAAGAGTCATGGCGTGATGTGTAATAATACCCATCTATTAAGATTGACTAATCACGACAAATCGTTTACATGTCCAGTTTTTGTGACCGTACATTTTCCGTGTTAATGTAGGTAGTTAACCCAACTTAATAACCGATAATAATTTCATACTAATAAGTAATATTATAAATGTGAAAGTGTGTTTGTTTGTTTGTCTTTTTTTCATGTCGAAACAGAGTGACGGATTGACGTGATTTTTTTTGTGTGGAGATAGTTGGCTGGAGGCTAGTTTTTTTGGCTGGAGAGTGACATAGGATACTTTCTACTACGGGAGATAATCTCATTCCCACGGGAAAACACGTTATAATATAACCCAAAAATTATTTAAATCATCCTTTATGGGGGTGTAAAAAAGAGTTGGATGAATGTTTTATGGATGAAAGTTTATATGAAACCTACTTTTTTAGAGTATTTCTGTAGTTTTAGCGCGAGCGAGGCTGCGTGTTCTGCTAGTATTTTATAATCAAGTACTAACTAATATCTTATGATTCCGGCCACGGCGGCCAATCTCCTTGAGACTAGCCAACTGCGCAGGAGATATTATAGTGCACAAGTGTACGCGCAGAAACAATGTGCACTCTCTATTCCTGCTACTCTCATACTGCTGTGGAACGACAATTCGACACAACCAGTGAGAGATCAGGCACTGGACCGTCGGTTTTACGTGGTCCCCAAGGTACGGGCGTGAAACACCACCAATTTCCCAACTTTAGGGTGTTACTGGGACTTTCTTAACACAAATATTTAATAACCTAACTAGCCCCGACCCGCACTCGAACACAGGATTCCCGGATCCGTGACCGTACATGCTAGCCACTAGGCTCCAAATATGACATATATCTTATAATTCATTACTAACTCACTTTATCCAGCTATCTCATACGAGTGTATGAAGAAACGCGACAAGAATGGTTAAACTAGATCTAGATAGTTATTCATTAACTTTTTTATAACCTTTAACGGTGATAATTAATCGCTTTAAGCTTGTACCGTTGCGAAATACTTGGAAGGCTGGTTTAATAATGAGTGGGCATCTATGATTTATAGCACCTTTTTTTTTTTTTTTTTTCGCTGGGGAAACCCATCATGGGGACCCTGCCGCCGTCATGGGCAGGGTACTGTGAGACTCCTACTCACTAAAACCCACAGCGGAACCCTTCGCCGCAGTGCAATGGGGCGTGCAGGATCGCTTTCGCATTCACTGCAACACCCCTGCGGATGATTTATAGCACCTAGGCTATATATAACGAAACAGATTAGGTACTGGAAATTGAAAAATTATACATATGTAGGATTACTAGATACATTAAATATAAAAATAGTATTAAAACACAGTTTTCTAGTTTAAAAAGATTGGCATGAGATGGGTAAAAATAATTATAATTTAATGATTTTAGTAGATACGAGCGACTCACCCTCGCTTCGCACGGTCCGTCCCTAGGTTGATTCCCCATATAAACTTTCATACCAATTTTCACA